CTTTCCAGAGTCTCAACCAGAGGTGGGTTTCAGCAGGTTCTGACCAGTTCTGGAGAACCGGTAGAAGAAATTTTGAGTAGTTTGGAGAACCGGTAGTAAAAATTCTAACTGGCCCCACCCCCATCTATTCTCTTCCTCCCGAGTCCTAGCTGATTGGGAGGAAATGGGGATTTTGCAGTATCCTTCCCCTGGAGTGGGGAGGGAATGGAGATTTTGCAGTATCCTTCCCCTGGAGCGGGGAGGGAATGGAGATTTTACAGTATCCTTCCCCTGAAGCGGGGAGGGAATGGAGATTTTACAGTATCCTTCCCCTGGAGTGGGGAGGGAATGGAGATTTTACAGTATCCTTCCCCTGGAGTAAGGAGGGAATGGAGATTTTACAGTATCCTTCCCCTGGAGCGGGGAGGGAATGGAGATTTTACAGTATCCTTCCCCTGGAGCGGGGAGGGAATGGAGATTTTACAGTATCCTTCCCCTGGAGCGGGGAGGGAATGGAGATTTTACAGTATCCTTCCCCTGGAGCGGGGAGGGAATGGAGATTTTACAGTATCCTTCCCCTGGAGAGGGGAGGGAATGGAGATTTTACAGTATCCTTCCCCTGGAGCGGGGAGGGAATGGAGATTTTACAGTATCCTTCCCCTGGAGCGGGGAGGGAATGGAGATTTTACAGTATCCTTCCCCTGGAGTGGGGAGGGAATGGAGATTTTACAGTATCCTTCCCCTGGAGTGGGGAGGGAATGGAGATTTTACAGTATCCTTCCCCTGCCGCGTCCACCAAGCCACGCCCACAGAACCGGTAGTAAAAAAATTTGAAACCCACCAGTGGTCTCAATATCTTTTTTACAACACGGTGACCAAAACTGGATGGAGTATTTCAAGTGTGGCCTTACTAAGGCTTTGTAAAGCGGTATTAGAACGTCACGTGATTTTGACTCTAATCCCTCTGTTAATGCAGCCTAGGATTGTGTTGGCTTTTTTGGCAGCTGTCGAACACAGTTGGGCTCCTATTTAAGTGATTATTTTGTGTCCTCTTAATTTCGGCCAGGCTTTACAGAGTGAAAATAAATGAATTTGTCTAATGCATGAATCAATCAAATTGGTAATTATTCTTACCACTGAAAACAATGAGGAAAAAATTCAAAGCAAGAAAAAACACAAGTGAAACAGAAGTAATAGGAAAAATTTTAGAATGCGCTGAAATGGATAGGTTAACCAAAGAATTACAAGAAAGAGAAGAATCAGATTATTACAAAATATGGAATAATTGGCATAATTGGTTAAAAATCAGAAATATACAAAAAATATAGGGGGAAATATTACCGATTTAAATATATATATATTTAAAAATTTACATAAACATATATATATATATATATATATATATATATATATATATATATATATATATATATATAATAAAAAGTGTTATTAGATTAAGGAGAGGTGAAGGAATATATCATAAGCAGAATTGTAGAATGTCACTCTGAAAAAATGCTTAAGAAGAAATTATACTCTTTTTGTGTATATGTTGTATAAATGTTTGTTGTGTATATATTACGTATGTTTTTTTTAATATTTATATTCAATAAAAAAAAATTAAAAAAGAAAAAAAGAAAAAGAAAATGAAGTAAAAAAGAGAGAAAACAATGAGGAAGAAACAGATCTGCACTCAAATATGGCATTGATGCATATTAAAGGATGCTAATGGGATTATTTAAGGTGCTTAGCTTGATGGAGTGCTTGTCCACATGGCAGTCACAGTTCCTGTTATTCCTACAAGTTTTTTTTTCTCCTTCTCATTCTTCCCTCCCTTCCCTCCATGTACACTTCGCGCAATCTTCAACTCATTTCCCCAAGGAAAATCATGGTGCAAACACCTTGTACAACAGACAGCTGATTTGGGATGATTTGAGGAAGCTAAGCTGGATCTGATTAGTTCCTGGGTTGGATTGAGGAATCCTAGCGCTGTAGGTTACTGTGGGAAGATGGCTTCCTAGAGATCTGGTGGAATTGGGATCACTTTTTAGAATTTGGGAAAAGAGATAGCACCTGCACAGAGAGCAGACAAGGCCAGAGAGATCCTCAGGTGAGGGTATCATAGAAAAAAATGCAACGTGGAGAGTTTTCTTTGCTTTTGGAAGGGGTCAAGAAACCCTTTGCTTGGACATTTGTCTGAGTAAAGCACTTTCTAGGAGCTTTGCATCAGAAAAGGTCATTCTTAAATTCTTGGGGTCTCTTCTAGAAATTGCACAATTATATGTCAAAGTCAGAAGAATTTTTGAGGTCTATCTAGGACATCATTTGTCCGACATGGCATAGGGCTTCCTGCTTGAGCAGGGCATTGGAGTAGAAGACTTCCAAGGTCCCTTCCAACTCTGTTATTCTGTTATGTTCTGTTATCATTCTGTCTCCATACTCACACTCCAACGTTCACGTCAAGCTTATGAAAAGGACAAAATTCAACGGCAACCACGCAATTCTGTTTCCAACCAGTAGCTCCTATTCCTAATAGAAGAAAGTGTGAGTAATCTGATAGGTATTTTTTGCATGAACTGGTGGTACCTTTGGAGCAAATACATCACATTAGTGGCAGAATGGCAGTTAGCAAACCCTTAGTTGGGGAACTGCTACTCAACCCAGATTTGAGAAAAGTCCACATTCTGCTAGTAACTATTTGCTCCTATTTCTCTCCTCTCTGTCTGCTCGCCTTCCCAAGCATCAAATTTGCTACTATGGTAAAGGATGAAGAATACAACAATGCTATATAACAACACAGTTGGGTGTATTCCGATAGCAGGAAAACAGTTAAAACAAAGGCACAGCTACCAATTCTGAACCTCTTGAGATGCCTTCAAAGATTATGTTCTGGAGGGTTTCTTGTAAACCCTGAAATAGTTTCTCCATTTTGGTCCCTACATTCACCACCAAGACTCTCAAACCATGCTTTCTGAGGCTGTTCAGAAGACCCTCGTGGTGGAGCCCACCCTCCTTAATGTTCACGTCCTAAAATTTGTCCTACGCAAAGAATGGAGAATGTTTGAATGTTCTCATACCAGATCTGCGTACTTAACTTACTTCCGTAACCATTACAAGTCCACAGGGGTCCTTTACTAGCATCTAGATTCATAAACCATCAACTGTACCCACCCCGCGGCAATAAATGGGACTCCAGTTCCCATCTCTTTCTTGAGCAATTGTGGAGGGGATATTTCCCCTCTTTTAACCAACAGCAATGGAAATGAGCATTGGTGATCAAAACTCTTGTATTGAAATGGCCGAATTAAAGAAGATAAATGAGTTGTAATAATATGTAACTGTCCACAGCTTAGGAGAAGGATGACAGGAAACCAGAAATAGGATCAATTGAGTTTGCTAAATAAGTTTCTTTCCAAATATGCTTGTGACATGTACTGGGAAATAACAATTTTATTGTAGCAACTTCTGCTTTTTATCTATTTTTTCATGCAAACAGCATTTTTTCCCCCTTGTTTGTGTAACTGCATAAACGCCTGCTGAATAAAATCATTTGGGGCTCTTCCAAAAGAGCCGCGGTGGCGCAGTGGTTAGAGTGCAGTACTGCAGGCTACTTCTGCTGACTGCCGGCTGCCTGCAAATTTGGCAATTTGAATCTCACCAGGCTCAAGGTTGACTCAGCCTTTCCATTCTTTGGAGATCTGTAAAATGAGGACCCAGATTGTTGGGGGCGATAGGCTGACTCTGTAAACCGCTTAGAGAGGGCTGGAAAGCACCGTGAAGCGGTACATAAGTCTAAGTACTATTGCTATTAACGGAGGAGCTTTGGATAGCTCAGCAGGCTAATGCATTGTAATTTAACTCCAGCTGTCTGCAATTAGCAAGTTCGAATCTTGCCAGGCTCAAGGTTGACTCAGTCTTCCATCCTTTCTAAGGTAGGTAAATTGAGGACCCAGTTTGTGGGGGCAATAAGATGACTTTGTAAAAATATACAAAAGTATGAAGGCTATTGCTTAACACATTGTAAGCCGCCCTGAGTCTCCGGAGAAGGGCGGCATATAAATCAAATTAAAAATAAATAAATAAATAAATTTGTGACACAGAGTGAATTGATCTCTGCCTCTTTGCTCACGCTCGGTCTGATCTAGATCTCCTGCTTGGCAATTACTCCCCCATTTCTTTTGGTGCCAAGTTTCAAGGGATCTCTTTTGAAATTGCCCCCTTGGTACCAGGGATTAAATGTGGATTCAAAAAAGAGAGCTTGCAAGAAGAAGGATGTGTTGAGAAATGCAAAATTATGGCATGGGTTCAGGGCATCTGAGGAGCCGATGGGACAAGCCCACCCCACTTGTGCCAGTGGAAGAGGCCTGGTATAGAGCCTATCTGGTAAGGAACTAGAATCAATGGGATCAAGGAGAAGGGCCTTTTCTGCTGTGACCCCATCTCTGTGGTACACTCTACCATTGGAGGTGAAAACTGACCCCTCTGTTTTGGCCTTCCGGAAGGGTCTCAAAACCTGAGTTTGCCAATTGGCCTGGGGTCCTGAGGAAGGCGCTCACCACTAGAGATGGCTGATGGGATATGAAGACCTCACCACTGGAGGTGGCTGATGGGACAAGAAGACCTCACCACTGGAGGTGGCTGATGGGATATGAAGACCTCACCACTGGAGGTGGCTGATGGGACAAGAAGACCTCTCCACTGGAGGTGGCTGATGGGACAAGAGGACCTCACCACTGGAGGTGGCTGATGGGACAAGAAGACCTCACCACTGGAGGTGGCTGATGGGACAAGAAGACCTCACCACTGGAGGTGGCTGATGGGACAAGAGGACAGATTGTCCCATCCATCTCTCAGCTCTTGTAGGCCTGGTTTTAATAGCCTTTTAATATTGGCTCATTTTAATCTGTTGACGACTTTCCCCTTGGGTTCTATAATTTGGAATCTGCCCAGAATGTCCTTGTAGGGGCGGATGGGCAGCATAGAAATTTAATAAACAAACAAACAACAACAACAAAGCAAATAAGTAAATAAAAAAACCCAGGTCAACCTCGTATCTCCCTCACTATAAACCCACTGTAATGCCTCAACCCCGTAGAGTCAAGTCCTTGAGGTGCTTCAGAAGTGGCTCTAGAAGGAAAGGTAGAATCTTAAGAGGTTAAAAGTCATTAGTGTCGACAACACAAGAGACGCTACGGGACAACAGGTGATGTTCCTTGCCACCCCCCAACAGTTACCTGTGCTAGACCTTGCTTATCCAGTGTTTCCCACCGTGCTTCAATAAGGACGGTTAGCATCCTTTGGCCTTTTCAGCTGGACCTTCAGCCTCTTCATCCCAATCTGGAAGCCATTCATGGCCTGGATGGCCGCTTGGGCGCTAGCAGGATTGTCAAAACTCACAAAGCCTGTCAAAACACAAGGAAGGTGCAGGATTTAACCAGCTGAAGGGGGGCGACGGGGCCATTCCCACGCTAGATCACACCAAGGATGAACATGGAACGGGGGGGCCAAGGAGCTGCCCCCTCCCTCCCCAGCGCTTGATGCAGGAAACTTCCACTTCTGACAATGTCATGGTGGGTTCGGGTGAGCGGCGTTGGGAATGGAATGGGTCGAGCGTTCACCTCAACCGAAAGTTGGCTGAGAGGGAGGATGGGAAGCAAGCCATGGAAAAGTTAGATTTTGGGGTGGAGGAATGAAGAGATGCCAGATGGACCACCAGATGGTCATTGAAAGGGACAAGTCCTCAGCTGAAGTTATTCTTACAGAGAAGGAAGGAGTGTTGCCAGGAGGGACTTCTAATGGGTCGCAGTGAGGTGTCCGCCTCAAACTAGAACATACATTTCACATCCCGTCTTGAATGCTGCAACACGCTCTACATGGGGCTGCCCTTGAAGAGCATCCAGAAGCTCCAGTTGGTGCAAAATGCAGCAGCCTGCATGGTTTTGTGCAGATTTCAGTTGTGCATGTTTTAAGTTTTTAAGTTTTAAGTTTAAGTTTTAAGTTTTATTAAATTTCTATACCGCCCTTCTCCCAGGGGACTCAGGGCAGGTGTACAGCCATATTAAAACACATGAATTTATAAAATATAAAACCAATTAAAATCAGATGTATAAAATTTGGCCATCAATTTAAAACACACATACACCCATTTGAAATTCATATTAGGCCAGTCCGGCTTGCTGAAACAGAAGGGTCTTAAGGGCGCGGGGAAAAGTGCGCAGGTCGGGGCTAAGACGAAGCTCTAGGGGCAGCTCATTCCAAAGGGCTGGTGCCCCCACAGAGAAGGCTCTCCCCCTGGGTGTCGCCAGTCGGCATTGTTTGGCCGACGGCACCCTGAGGAGCCCCTCTCTGTGGGAGCGTATTGGCCGGTGGAAGGTTGTTGTTGGCAGAAGGCGATCTCATATATACCCCGGTCGTAAGCCATGGAGCGCTTTAAAGGTGGTAACCAACACCTTGAATCGCACTCAGAAGACCAGCGGAAGCCAGTGCAGCTCACGCAGGAGGGTTGTTACATGGGTACGCCAAGTCGCACCCATAACCACCCGCGTGGCTGCATTCTGGACCAGCTGGAGCCTCTGAGTGCTCTTCAAGGGGAGCCCCATGTAGAGAGCATTACAGTAGTCCAGACGGGACGTGATGAGGGCATAAGTGACTGTGCGCAAGGCATCCCGGTCCAGAAAGGGACACAACTGGTGTATCAGGCGAACCCGATAAAAAGCTTCCCTGGCCACGGCTGTCATATGATCTTCCAACGACAGCCGTGCATCCAGGAGAACACCCAAGTTGAGAGCCCTCTCTGTGGGGGCCAAGGTTTCACCCCCAATAGTCAGCGATGGTGACAGCTGACTATACCAGGCTGCCGGAAGCCACAGCCACTCAGTCTTGGAGGGGTTGAGTTTAAGCCTGTTTCTCCCCATCCAGATCCGCACGGCCCCTAGGCACCGGGACATCACATCAAGGGCATCATTGGGGTGGTTCGGGGTGGAGATGTACAGCTGAGTATCATCAGCATACTGATGGAATCTCACCCCGAAACCACAGATGATCTCGCCCAGCGGCTTCACATAAATGTTGAACAGAAGGGGCGAGAGGACTGACCCTTGCGGCACCCCACATACAAGGTGCCTCGGGGTCGACCTCTGCCCCACCTGCCAACACAAACTGCACACAGTTGGAGAGGAAGGAGGAGAACCACTGCAACACGGTGCCCCCCACTCCCAACCCCTCCAATCGTCGCAGCATGATACCATGGTCAATGGTATCAAAAGCCGCTGAGAGATCTAATAGGACCAGGACAGAGGAGCAACCCCTGTCCCGAGCCCTCCAGAGATCATCGACCAATGCGACCAATGCCGTTCCAGTGCTGTGCCCTGGCCTGAAGCACGACTGGAACGGGTCTAGATAATCAGCTTCATCCAGGTACTGGGGAAGTTGTCGCGCCACCACACTCTCAACAACCTTCGCAATGAAGCGAAGGTTGGAGACAGGGTGATAATTGGCTAATACAGCCGGGTCCAGGGAAGGCTTCTTGAGGAGAGGCCTCACCACCGCCTCTTTTAAAGAGGGGGGGAAGTAACCCTCACTCAAAGAAGCGTTAATAATCCCCTGGAGCCAGCCTCGTGTAATCTCCCGGGAGGCCAGCACCAACCAGGAGGGACACGGATCCAATAAACATGTGGCAGAGCTAAGTCTCCCCAGAATCCTGTCCACATCCTCGGGTGTCACAGGGTCAAACCCCTCCCAGATAACATTCTCAAGATTCCCCTCCATCAGTCCATCCGGATCTACCCAATCAGAGTCCAGACCTTCCCGAATCTGAGTGACTTTGTCATGCAGGAATTGCACAAAATCCTCAGCCTTGTCCTGCAAGGGATCTTCCTTCGCTCCCAGATGAAGGAGGGAGCGGGTCACCCTAAACAGGGCAGCTGGGCGGTTCTCTGCAGACCCAATAAGAGTGGAAAAATAATTAAATTTTGCCGCTTTTATCGCCACTAGGTAGGTCTTAATATGAGACCTCACCAGTGTTCGGTCAGATTCGGAGTGACTGGCCCTCCAATCACTCTCCAGGCATCTTTTCCGGTGCTTCATCTCTCTCAGCTCCTCAGAGAACCAGGGAGCCAGTTGAGATCGGCACCGGGGCAGAGGCCGCAAAGGCACGACACGATCCAGAGCCCCGGTGGCCGCCCTATCCCAGGCGGCCACCAGCTCTTCAGTCATGCCATGAGCCAGAGCCTCAGGGAATGGCCCAAGCTCCGTCAGGAACCTATCCGGGTCCATCAGGCGCCTGGGACAGAACCACTTAGTCGGGTCCATCTCCCTGCAGTGGGATGTAGCAGTTCAAAAGTCCATGCGAAGGAGGGAGTGATCAGACCATGACAAGGGCTCGATGACTAAATCCCCTCTTTCCAGATCACTCTGCCACTGACCAGAAACAAAAATCAAGTCCAGAGTATGTCCCCCCAAGTGAGTAGGGCCTTGAACTAATTGGGTCAGGTCCAAGGCCATCATGGAAGCCAAGAACTCCTGAGCTGCCACAGACATTTTGCCGACAGATGTTAGGTTGAAGTCCCCCATAACCATAAGCCTGGGGGTATCAACCGCCACCCCGGCTATCACGTCTGGTAGCTTGGGCAGGGCTGCTGCCACGCAGCAGGGAGCCAAGTACGTGATCAGCAGGCCCATCTGCACCCCACGACCCCACTTCACAAGGAGGGACTCACATCCAGCTATCCGAGGTCCAGGGGTCTCCCTCGGACATAGACTTTCTTTAATAATAACTGCCACCCCCGCACCCCTATCCTGGGCCGGAAACCTGGTGGGCACATTTCAACCAGGGGCACACCCCCTTCTGGGCCCAACCAGGTCTCTGTAATACCCGCCACATCCGCTCCCCCCTCCTGAATAAGATCATAAATGAGAGAGGCTTTATTTAACACGGATCTGGCATTGCACAACAACAGCCAAAGGCCCAGGCTCTGAGAGTCTGTGCTACCTGGGGAACGAGTAAAGCCTTGGGGACTGGAGTGCGCGATCGCTTGAAGATAGCGAGAGTGCACTCCCATAACATGATATAGCCCCCTGCTTCCACCATATCTGCCCCTCCCTCCCACCGTACAGATCACATGGCCCTCACAAGGTTGAGCTCTCGCCCCCTCCCTGATATCCAACCCTGCGTCTCCACTGCCGCTGCCCTCTGCCGGACCCGACCTTGACCCTTGTGGGTTCTCCCCCGCTCCCACTCTGGTCATCCCTGAATCCCTTAAAATTTTAGTTAATAATGCATTTAAAAAAACCCTTAATCCCCTCTTTGACGCATGCCATCTCTCGGGGTTCCAAAACCCGTCATCAAGGTAGGCCCTCGATAACATGGAGGGCCAGATCTGCGAGAGGGGGGAATCTCGCAGCACAAGAAGCTTAGACCTTGAGTACATCCAAAACACAAAACATACAATAACACGTGTATTACACCTCTTCTACGGGAGCTGCATTGGTTGTCGATTTGCTTCCGGGTACAATTCAAGGTGCTGGTTGTCACCTTTAAAACCCTTCATGGCTTGGAACCAGGGGATCTGAGGGACCGTCTCTTGCCGGTCACATCCACCCAACCCACCAGAGCGGGAAGGCAGGGAATTTATTTATTTATTTATTTATTAATCACATTTCTATACCGCCCTACTCCCGAAGGACTCAGGACGATGAACAGCCAATATAAAATACAGATAATACAAATATTAAAAATCCCTTAAAATTATTAAATATTTTGGCTGAAACACAGATTAAAACACCCAATTTATAAAGTCACGAATTAAAAATTTAAAAGAGGAGAGTTAGGCCAGGCCAGCCTGCTGAAATAAAAAAGTTTTGAGAGCACGACGAAACGTGCCCAGGTCCGGGATCCTCCGTATCTCCGGGGGGAGCTCATTCCAGATAGTAGGTGCCCCCACAGAGAAGGCTCTCCCCCTGGGGGCCGCCAGTCGACACTGTTTGGCTGATGGCACCCTGAGGAGCCCCTCTCTATGGGAGCGTACTGGTCGGTGAGAGGCTATTGGTAGCAGAAGGCGGTCTCGTAAATACCTCGGTCCGATGCCATGGAGTGCTCTAAAGGTGGTAACCAAAACCTTTAAGCGCACCCGGAAGACCACCGGGAGCCAGTGCTTGCGCAGGAGGGGGGTCACATGGGAGCGCCACGTCGCTCCCATAACCACCCGCACGGCCGCATTCTGGACCAGCTGGAGCCTCTGGGTGCTCCTCAAGGGAGCCCCATGTAGAGAGCATTACAGTAGTCCAGGCGGGAAGTAACGAGAGCATGAGTGACCGTATTTAACGAGTCCCGATCCAGAAAGGGACGCAACTGGCGAATCAGGCGGACCTGATAAAGTCCCATCCTGGTGGGAGATATACCTGG